ACACAGTGTGTGTGTGTGTGTGTGTGTGTGTGTGTGTGTGTGTGTGACGTGAATAACTATTACTATATTTACGTTTATCTTTAGCCAGCAGTTTAAATAGGACCCAATATGGCCGCTCTGGCCCCGGGGAGACATTTTTGAGCCGCCAATAACCACAGTTGGTTTCTTGCTGTGTCTCTGAGTAGGGAAAATCTGTTGACACATGAATCTGTTGGTGGTGAACTATGTGCTTCTGCTGTTTGGGGCTATGCTTCTTTCGGACAGTCACATTTGGGAACCACCGGGGGACGGCTAGCAGAAGCTACACTGGATTGACCTGCACTGACTACTGGGGGCTGGATAGACTGTCAATTTGACTAATTTGACATAATAATAACAATAAATATATTATCAATATTAACTTTAGGTTAAATTTAAATTGTATAGTAATTGTGTGACCAAGCAATCATGGATACAGTATACGGGTCAGAGGTCAGTCTGTACTGTTTATTTGCTGCAAGTAATAGTAACATTGTTGATATTACTGTTATATTGGTCAGTGCTGTAGATACAGGTCAGAGGTCTGTACTGTCTATTTCATTAATGTAATAGTAACAAGGATGATTGTTAACTTTATTTCATAGATCAGCATTGTAGATACAGGTTATAGATCAGGGCTGTAGTTACAGGGCAGAGGTCATGGTTGTAGATACAGGGCAGAGGTCTATAATGTATGTTATACTGTTTTTTTAGGTTAGTAAGAATAAATATATATCTAATATTGACTTTATAAACAACTTTAATTTTGTTGCAGGGTTCTTCTGCTGTAAAAGGATTAGAAAGATATTCCTCAGCTGTTCAGAGCTTCTGCTCTTCTTGTCGGCCATCTTTGTTTTGAGGAATTTGTGCTGCACTTATAACAACTGGTCAGTGTGTAGGATGATGCACTAGCGTCCACTGTGGTGGCAAATATACCATCAAAACCCATGAATATACAAGAAAGTGGCTGTTGAATAGCTGTCCACTATAGTGAGCACTGTGTATGAAAGGGTTAAACATCAATTACACTCACAGATAAACTGTGTGACTTCCTTTAAATGGAGAGGGGAGGAGCTGACCATGTGATCCAGGAGAACAGGGTGGGGACCTGGAAGAGTTCAGTTGGATCAGAATCCATTTTGAGTGTACAGCAGAAACCTGCAGGCTGAGGCAGGCTGAGTGTTAATACAACTGTTTTATTCTGTTACTAAAGTGTGTGAGTCCGTTTTCTCCCTGTCGACTGGAAACCAAAGAAATGTTAGAATGAACTCAACAGTTTGTCTGTGGACACATTATTGGCTGAATAAAACACAACCTGAACCTGCTGTAGAGGACTGAGTCCAGCTTTAAACAGTGAGTCACTGACTTCAGTACTGAACCTGGACCCTCAGACTCACAGTAAGAGAACTGATACTAACTCATTTTTATGACTCATTTTCAGTTTCCTCTGACACTGAATTTAATTTTTCTACTAAACTGTATTTGTTGACTCAACTGAACACACTTCTTATGACTCATTGTAAGGGTTGAGGATCGGGCATGAACAGAGGACGACTCAGAAATGTTTTTTCCATTTTTTATTGTGAATTCCAATTCACTAGGAGGAGTTCATTCAAATACAATACGAAAAATCATAGAAAATGACAAAAAAAATTAAAATGACTGACTTTGATGCCATGCCACAGACACGCCCTTTAATGTACATGCACAAATAGCACAAATTTTAATCAGCAGCATTTTCTATCTGTACTGACCAATTTTGAAGTAGATCTGATGAATTCCCTAGGAGGAGTTTGTTCAAATACAACGCAAATAATCGCCAAAAACGGCTGCGAAATTCAACATGGCCAAATTTGATGGCACACCACGGACACGCCATTCAACATACGTAGACAAATACCACAACTTTTAATCAGCAACGTTTTTTGACTGTACAGACCAATTTTGAAGTAGATACGATAAATTCCCTAGGAGGAGTTCGCTCAAATACAAGGTGAAAAATTCACTGAAAATGACCACGGAACTCAAAATGGCTAACTTTGGCGGAAAGTCACAGACATGCCCTTCAACGTCCAGTCACAAATAGCACATTTAATCAGCAATGGTTTTTTTTCGCATCCGCATCCGCATCCTCTTCTGCATCCTCTTCTGCATCCTCTTCTGTGGACTCTTCTGTACTGTGACCCTTGGTGCTGGGCATGTGATGTCTCTTGCCTCGTCAGCACAGAAAGGCCTGATTTTTATAAATTATAAATTTTATAAATTCCACAACTCCGTTGAAAATGCTGCGGCTGATGAACCTAGCTGGCCGTGGCTGTGAGTGCTTCTTCCTTAACCGTGGTCTTGCCCCATTCTCCTCGAAGTGTTTGATTATATCGGTCAGGGTGTCTTTGCCAATTCTGAAAAAGGAAAACAAAGAAGTGTCACATCATGGGTCATGCTAACAGGCACCATGTCACCTGAATCTGGGTGTATACATCCAAACTGTTCCTCAAGTAGGCTAGTTGCTAAAGCATTAGCATCACAGTCAATTCAAGCAATTCAAGCATTATTCAAATTAATAGCAGATGCTCACATTACTAGCCAAAACCCCCAATTACAGCTTAGTTTCGATATGCATATTGTTTTAAAACAACAGCCTACATTGTTATTAGCTAGCTCAGTACTAAGGTATAAACATGAAAACAGAAAACATGAGATAACAGTTTGTAATCCCTGTGACTTTGACTGCGACTTTGAATGAACACATAACACAAAGTAGATAACTTGGATGTTAATGGAAACTCACCCCATAAGAAACTGAAAAGTATTCCTGCAGACTTCATTGCCTCCGATGGAATAAGTGGTTTCTCTTCTCTTTCTCTTCGTCTGGGGCTTTTTGGTGGATGTAGTCATGTCCGAAGTAACTACTGTGCGTCTGTTTGCCTCGAGATGTCCAATTATTCACATGTCCTGCCACTCTCTTTCGGCAGCTAGAGAATCCAACCGTATGCTATACATAAGCTCTGGAGAACGTTTGTTGCTGCACGAATGTCTCCCAATGAGAGAGTCCTCCTTTCTTCTTTCATAGCATTTGCAGTCAAAGTTACGGATTTTCTCCATTTCGCTGTCTTTATCCCCTTCACGTTACCGTAGATCAGTGGTTCTCAAACTTTTTTGGTCATTCCCCACTTCGGACAAGGGGGAATTTTCAAGCCCCACCTGCCCCCATCGTCCCAACACAATACTAATAAAATACGCAACAAGCTTAAAATGTTCCAATTCATTGAAGTAACAAGTAGTATCAGTATAGTAACAAGTTGTATCTAAATACAAACTATCTACATCAAATAACAGCAACGTCAAAAATAAAGAAAATAAAAGTGCAGCTGTGTCAAAATTTGTATCAAGTTCAAAAATAGATTATAATACATACATAAATATTTCTCGGGGTCTCATATCTAATGTTCTTTTCATTTAGACTGCATGTAGGCTAGTAATGACTACTTTGTTTGTGGGTGTTTTGTTTTGAATGTATGATCTTTGTTGTCATTAAAGAAAGGCATTGATAAAGCAGACATCCCAACCTGCAAAAAGTCATTTCAGGGAGGTTCGTTCCGGGGGGGTGGGGGTGGGGAGGGGAATTCCTGTTACACTTGCTGTTGCCCCCCGGGGGTGATCGGTCTAATAAGTGGCAACACACAGCTAAGGCTGGGCGATAAATCGATTTTATCGATAAATTCGAATTTAATTTAAACTCTCACTAATTTTGAAAAAAACAATAGTTTCTTTGTTTATGTGAATTCCTCCTCATCGTGCCTTCACACGGTCAGTGCTCGGGCCCTAATTAGTCTTACAGACTGGTGGTTGTGTGTTACAGACGGGTGGTTGGGTTGTTTGTTACAGACGGGTGGTTGGGTTGTTTGTTACAGACGGGTGGTTGGGTTGTTTGTTACAGACGGGTGGTTGGGTTGTTTGTTACAGACGGGTGGTTGTTTGTTACAGACAGGTGGTTGGGTTGTTTGTTACAGACGGGTGGTTGGGTTGTTTGTTATAGACGGGTGGTGGGGTTGTTTGTTACAGACAGGTGCTGGGGTTGCTACTAACTCCTGCAATGAGGCAAAACAGCCAATACAGTGGGCTGACACCTGTCTGTCGAGCTTTGCTGCCAAAAAGTGTCCTTATGCACCAAAACAATGAGCTGTTAACACCATATTATAATAGTAGCTACAGTGAATTTAATTAACAGTCACTTTAATAAACTACTTCCGTATGGTGAAGACATTTTAAGCTCAAAGGTCCAATTACTAATAACTGATTGAATCATTTGTAAGTGGACCTTTGAGCTCAGGTTATCTCCATGTTCAGTACTTAGATTTTGCCTGATTTAACAGTTTAACAACACTGATTCAACAAATCAGTTTAGTTATAAAGAAATGTCTCCACAGAGAGAGGAAGAGGAGTTGTGTTCCTGTCGACAAGCAGCTTCTGCTGTTATTTGTGTCAGGACGTCCTTGAGGATCCAGTCTCTACCAGCTGGGGACAGTGTATCACGTCACACTGGGACCAGTCTGGTTCACCAGGAGACGCCTCCTGTCCCCAGTGTGGAAAAAGACCCAGAAGAAGACCTGGACAGCAGACAGTGAGTCCAGCACTCTACATGATGTAGCTCTGTCTGCAACGTCATCATGTCTGAAAACTTGATTCAATAGTTTTATCACACAGTTCAGCTATTGAAGATCTTTTAAATATCTTGTCATTTTAAATCCAGCTTTCTGTTCTTGCACTGCACATAAAGTTTACAGTGATAACACAACATAACAACAGTCTTACATAGGGCTTCTAGAGAGAAGTAAACAAAAGACCGCCCATTTCTAGCTGACAACTGTGGATTTTGTCAGCTTGTCAACAAGTGGCCATCATTTTTTTCTCTGTAAAAAGCGGGAAGGGAACAGTCTTGCAGCTTGAGGCAGCTAACCCCCAAATTCCACCGGACACGGCAGCGACAACCCACTCACATCAAGCAGCACAGAGCAGATCATACTGACAGGAAGTCAAAAACAGTATAGAGAATCTGATACATTTTCAAAATACAATATTGCATGCAACATTGTGGTACCAGACCTGAAGTAAATCGGTCAGAGGCAGGTTAGAGGAGATTTTAAGTGGAGAAACACATTGTTGTGTATCCTTTTAAAGGACTAAATACACAAGTAAACAACGTATGGCAGGTAACTCTGAAATGCTCTTGGTGGGATTTGAAGACGCGCGTATCACAGAGCCAAACCACACAATGCAGACGCAACATTATAAAATCATTCCCAGTGGAATTTCAGAGTAAGACCCTCTACTTGCCTGTAGCAGTCAAATTTTCTTTATTTTGTCTCATACTCTTTTTAGTGAATGCTGGTCTGCAGAAGGTTTTAGATGAACATAAGATCAGTCTGAAGAGGAAATGTGAATGTGTGAATGAAAGAACTGATAAAACACGAAGTAGAACCCTCCTCAACAGGATCTACACTGAGCTCTACATCACAGAGGGACAGAGTGAAGAGGTTAATACCCAATGACAATGAGGTGAGGCAGCTGGAGACAGCTTCTGAGATGGAGACCCTCCATGACACTCCAATCAGGTGCCACGACATCTTTAAAGCCTTACCTGACCAACAGAGACACCTCAGAGTGGTTTTGACAAACGGCGTCAATCGCATTGGAAAAACTGTCACAGTGCAGAAGTTCACCCTGGACTGGGCAGAGGGCTTGAACAACCAAGATGTCAGTCTGGTGGTTCTGCTTTCATTCAGGGAGCTGAACCTGATCAAAGATGAGCAGTACAGTCTTCTCAGGCTGCTCCACGTTTTCCATCCAACATTACAGAAGGCCACAGCAGAGCAGCTCGCTGTCTGTAAACTTTTGTTCATCTTTGACGGCCTGGATGAAAGCAGACTTTCACTGGATTTCAAGACCAAGAAGGTTGTGTCTGATGTCACACAGTAATCTTCAGTCAACGTGCTGTTGACAAACTTCATCAAGGGGGAATCTGCTTCCCTCGGCTCTCGTCTGGATAACTTCCAGACCTGCAGCAGCCAATCAGATCCCTCCTTTATATGTTGCCAGGGTAACAGAAGTACGAGGCTTCACTGATGCCCAGAAGGAGGAGTACTTCAGGAGGAGAGTCAGTGATGAAGATCTGTCCAACAGGACATCAAGACCTCCAGGAGCCTCCACATCATGTGTCTAATCCCAGTCTTATGCTGGATCACTGCTACAGTTCTGGTCCACATGTTGACTACAGACCAGAGAGGAGAGCTGCCCAAGACCCTGACTGACATGTACTCACACTTCCTGCTGGTTCAGACAAAGAAGAAGAAGCAGAAGTATGATGAGGGACATGAGACGAGTCCACAGGAGCTGATGGAGGCTGACAGGGAATTGTTCTTGTTCATGTTCTACCAAGAAGACCTGGAGCAGTGTGGTCTTGATGTCACAGAGGCCTCTGTGTACTCAGGAGTTTGTACAGAGATCTTCAAAAGAGAGAGTGTGATCTTCCAGAAAACAGTCTACTGCTTCGTTCATCTAAGCATTCAGGAGTTTCTGGCTGCAGTCTACATGTTCCACTGTCACACCAACCGGAACACAGAGGTACTGGAGGGTTTTCTGGGAGAAGAACATGTTGATTCAACCCTAGACGTCTTCCTGAGGGAAGCAATGATGAAATCCATGAGGAGTAAAAATGGCCACATGGACCTGTTTGTTTGCTTCCTTCATGGCCTCTCTCTGGAGTCCAACCAGAGACTCTTAGGAGGCCTGCTGGGTCAGACAGACAACAGCCCAGATATCATCCAGAGAGTCATCGACAAACTGAAGGAGAAGAGCATTTATAATATCTCTCCTGACAGAAGCATCAACATCTTCCACTGTCTGATGGAGATGAACGACCACTCAGTCCATCAGCCGCTCATGTTAATGTGCTTTGTGATCTAAATGCATACAGTCTGTTTTTATAATAAAAATAAAATATTTTATTTTAAATGTTATATTCTCTGTATTCACAGACTTTTGAAATGTGAACTCTCAGAGACTCACTGTGAAGTCGTGGCCTCAGCTCTGAAGTCCAACCCCCATCTGAGAGAGCTGGACTTAGTTAGTGGAGTTACAACAACCTGAAGGATTCAGGAGTGAAGCTGCTGTCTGATGGACTGAAGAGTCCAAACTGTAGACTGGAGACTCTGAGGTCAGTTGATATGTTTGCTCTGTGTATATGTTACAAATTTAATAATTTGATTTTAAAGCTGCAGTTTGAAACATCACTGTAATATAATACCTATAGGTGTGTTTACATTAGTTTATTCAGCTGAAAATAAGAATTGTTGTGTTTTCTTTACCTTAGAATGTTTTTATCTACAGAGGGAGTGGGTCCTCTTCTGGTGGAGTCCGCCATGTTGAACCACCATGTTTCTACAGTAGCCCAGAACAGACAAACACTGGATCTAGATAGGAACCCATTCTCAATCCCAGGTGGTCAAATACAGATGCCTGTAGTGTTCAGTTTGTTGCAATCTGCAACTTCACCACTAGATGTCAGTAAATCCTACAAACTGGTCCTTTAAATGGTATAAGAAAAGTTTTAATAAGTATACATATACAGTACGTCTATATTTGTCTGTATATTATTATTGATGATAGAAACAGGATGAATGTGATCAGAGTGTAAAGTGTACAGAGCGTCGGTCTCTGATCAACAGCCTCGTCCTGCATCTGAAACCAAACAGCTGATAGAACAATGAAAACAGTGAATCTGTCAGAAAGAAGAATATTAAGTCTGATAGTTGAACTGATAAAAATACAGAATACAGACAGAGAATGTATCAATATATCAGGAAAACTCATCTCTGATCAATATTCACAGGAAATAATAAAATCTCTGGTTTTCCACAAACTTTCTGTATTTACTGTGTTCACTGTTTAGGTTTATTGTTCAGTTTATCCGCTGTTCTCTGCTCTTATTGATCAATAAAATATGAGTCAGTTTATTTAATAATGGAAAAGGGTTAAGGACAAATAGATTACATTTCAGATTAAGAGAAGCTTGTTGTCACGATTGATCCTGTTATTAAAATAATTGAGGATGAAGCTTACAGTCAGTCAGTCAGACAATTGACCTCTGCTATGGCGATGTTAAGAATGCATATAAAGCCCAGAAAAAAACACCCCTTCGTACTTCGGACCACAATTTTATGCACCTCATCCCTGACTACTGCACAAAGCTACAGAGAGATGGTGTTGCTAAGAAGCTGGTGAAAGTATTGGCAATAGTGCATGCAAGACATTACAGTGCTGTTTTGACTGTATTGGGAGGTGCTAATTCAGGGGATCAGCTCAGAGGAGGCTACTGATTCTGCCACCCACTACATCACCTTTTGGTGATTCAGTCTGGTTTCAGGAAACCAGACTGAACAAGTAAAACAAATAAAAGAAGCATTTCAGCTCCACTCGAACTCTACTGGAGCCCCACAGGGGTCAGTAAGCTCACCTGTGCTCTCTCAGTGAGAACTGGAGGACTGCACAGGATTGCTTTCACAGCTTGGAAAGCCTGCTCACATCTGGGTCAGTCTGTGGTAGCAAGGTTACAACAAAATGCCCTATAGTAACCTGCCAGTTACCTTAATATTAATGAGAGCTTTTTTCCACTCTTTGTATTTTACAGTTTGCATCCTGCATCCTGTTGGGTTCAAGTGTTTGGAGCTTCCATTTACTTCAGCTCTGAACAGATTATTAAACACTGAATGATTTCAAGCAGGAACATTGTCTTCTAATTTTTACATATTTTATTCTTTATTCAGATTTAGTGGCTGCAGTTTGTCAGAGATCAGCTGTCTTCTCTGGTCTCAGCTCTGAAGTCCATCCCCTCCCATCTGAGAGAGCTGGAGCTGAGCGACAACGACCTGTATGATTCAGGAGTGAAGCTGCTGTGTGGTTTTCTGGTACAGTCCACACTGTAGACTGGAGACTCTGAGGTCAGACACTATTTTTTATTTCTGTGCTGAGATGAATCTGATGTGAAAGTTGTGGTGACAGTAAAGTGCAGACAGGTTGATATAAACAGTATGAGGTAAAATCTCCTTCAGATTTGATGACATTAAAACTAAGATTTAAAGATTTCAAAATGACATCTGTATGTCATACTTGTTTACAATGCAATTGTTTCATTACACTATGCATTACTAGGAATGGAGTGCAAATATATGAGCAGATAATTAAACTTGACTAAAACTAAACTGTTCATGTAGCAATTAAATGTAAATAGTGCAAAAAGTTTGTGCGTTGTAGTTTGGAGTTTAAACCAGTCTTAGTCTGCGGGGGTTGGAGGTACTGGGTGCTGTGGCATTGTGGAGTCTGATGGCAGATGGAACAAATGAGCCTCCAAAGCTCAGCTTAATTTCTTCAAAAAGTCTCAGACGATTACAGACGTACAACAGTCCAAAAACAAGCAAAAACCCAAATAACCAGAGAAAACACACACAAGGGACAGCTGGAACATATTGACACTAGGAACAAAGACGAACTGGTACAGGGTGAATAAAATATGTATATGAAATAAAAATATAAAATATATTGTGAGGGAAAACGGGACACAGGTGAACATAATCAAGCCGGGGCAAACAATCAATGTGGAGGGGCAACAGAAAGACAAGACGTAAAGCCACACAACAAACGCTAAAATAAAACAGGAAGTAAATGCAGAAAACTCAAAACCATAACATAAACACTGAATGATTTCAAGCAGGAACATTGTCTTCTAATCTTACATCTTTTATTCTTTATTCAGATTGTGGTGGTGCAGGTTGTCAGAGACCAGCTGTTCTTCTCTGCTCTTAGCTCTGAAGTCCAACCCCTCCCATCTGAGAGAACTGGAGCTGAGCTTCAACAACCTGCAGGATTCAGATGTGAAGCTGCTGTGTGGTTTTCTGGAGAGTCCACACTGTAGACTGGAGACTCTGAGGTCAGACACCATTTTTTATTTCTGTGCTGAGATGAATCTGATGTGAAAGTTTTGCTGACAGTAATGTGCAGACATAAGGCTGATATTATTTGGATCCACACTGAGTATCTTAATGCTAAAGTCTGTTTTCTTCTTCAGTGCTTTAGTCCATTGACTGTGGCAGAGCAATGTTGAGCTCCACATTTAAAACCTTCATAGAACCAGAAGAATCTACACTGAATAATTCACTCTGAACCTCTTCAGCTCTGGATCTAATCTGATATTCCACATCATGGTTTTAACCAATGAGCATACATATACAGACATACAATGAGTAGTTCAAAATATATTCAGTATTTTAATTTTGCAACATTTATATGAAGCTGTATGATGTTTGGGACCAGGAAGCAGAGCTGCTGTCTTACACACTTCTCTGCTCTTTCTTTAGAACAGTCACCCACCCAAAACCCCATAGAGACTGTGTCTGTCCCCCGACCACCTAAATTATTTAAAGAAATACAAACAAGAGGAGTTCAACATAAAAATCTAATAAAAATTAAAACTAACTCCTCAGTAGCACAAAATAAGAGAATGAAATGTGGGCTGTTAAATATCAGGTCTCTGTCCTCTAAAGCTGTTCTAGTGAATGAATTAATATCAGATTATGATATTGATTTACTTTGTCTTACTGAGACCTGGTTGTCCCACGAGGAGTATGTTAGCCTAAATGAATCCACCCCCCCCAGTCATATTAATACTCACATTCCTCGAGACACTGGCCGAGGAGGTGGAGTAGCAGCCATATATGATTCGAGCGTTTTAATGGACCCTAAACCTAAACTAAATTATAATTCATTTGAAAGCCTTGTTCACAGTCTTTCTCACCCAAACTGGAAAACACTGCAGCCAGTTCTATTTGTTATAGTGTACCGCGCTCCTGGACCGTACTCTGATTTTATATCTGAATTCTCTGAGTTTTTATCAAGTTTAGTCCTTAAATCAGATAAAGTAATTATTGTAGGTGATTTTAATATTCATGTGGATGTTAACAATGACAGCCTTAGTAACGCATTTATATCATTAATAGACTCAATTGGCTTCTGTCAGAGTGTAAATAAACCAACTCATTGTTTTAATCACACTCTTGACCTTGTTCTATCATATGGCATTGATATTGAACATTTAATAGTCTTCCCACATAATCCTTTCCTATCTGACCATTATTTAATAACTTTTGAATTCATGCTATTGGATTATAAGCCATTAGGCAAAACTTCCTACAGCAGATGTCTATCTGACAGTGCTGTAGCTAAATTTAAGGAGGAGATTCCTTCAGTGTTTAATTCAATGCCATGTCTGAATTTAACAGAGTCCTATAACGACTTTAGTCCCTCTGAAATTGATAATCTTGTTGATAGTGCTGCAGGCTCACTACGATCAACATTAGACTCTATCGCTCCTATAAAAAGGAAATTATTAAAACATAGGAGACTAGCACCTTGGTATAACCACCAAACCCGCCAGTTAAAGCAAATAGCTAGGAAATCTGAAAGGAAATGGCGCTCTTCCAAATTATCAGAATATCGCTCAATTTGGCAAGATGATCTTAAGATTTATAGAAAGGCCCTCCGTAATGCCAGAGGAGCCTATTACTCAGCACTAATAGAAGAAAATAAGAACAACCCTAGGTTCCTCTTCAGCACTGTAGCCAGGCTGACAGAGAGTCACAGCTCTATCGAGCCACATATCCCCATAAACTTAAGTAGCAATGACTTCATGAGCTTCTTCTATAATAAAATTATTACTAACTAAAATTAATCACCAACTGCCATCAACAGTTATCAGTGGCTCTCCAAGTTCAGGGACTTCTGTCAATGTAAACTTAGATATATATTTAGACTGTTTTTCTGCTATCGATCTTCATCAGTTAACTTCAATCATTTCTTCATCGAAGCCATCAACCTGTCTGTTAGACCCGATCCCAACTAGGCTGCTTAAAGAAGTTGTTCCCTTAATTGGCACTTCTTTACTGGATATGATTAATCTTTCTTTATTATCAGGATATGTACCACAGTCCTTTAAAGTAGCTGTAATTAAACCCCTTCTTAAAAAGCCCACTCTTGACCCAGGGGTTTTAGCCAACTATAGACCAATCTCTAACCTCCCCTTCCTTTCTAAGATTCTGGAGAAAGTAGTCGCCAGAGCTGTCTCTGTGCTATGATGAACTCTAAATCCTGACTGAAAATCCTCAAATAAACTATTGTTATGTAAAAAGTCACACAACTCTCTGGCGACTACTTTCTCCAGAATCTTAGAGAGGAAGGGGAGGTTAGAAATCGGTCTATAGTTGGCTAAAACCCCTGGGTCAAGAGTGGGCTTTTTAAGAAGGGGTTTAATTACAGCTACTTTAAAGGACCGTGGTACATATCCTGATAATAAAGAAAGATCATATCCAGTAAAGAAGTGCCAATTAAGGGTACGACTTCTTTAAGCAGCCTAGTTGGGATCGGGTCTAACAGACAGGTTGATGGCTTCGATGTAGAAATTATTGAAGTTAACTGGTGAAGATCAACAACAAGTGCTTGCTCATGGTGGTACTGTTGGGTCTCTGTAATTAATGTTAAAGAGTTCGGTCTAGACCTGCTCTATTTGAAAAGTGTCCTGAGATAACTTCTGTTATGAATTGGCGCTATACAAATAAAATTGAATTGAATTGAATTGAATTGAAGATCGATAGCAGAAAGACAGTCTAAATATATATCTGAGTTTATATTAGTCAAAGTTCCTGAACTTGGAGAGCCACTGATAACTGTTGATGGCAGTTGGTGATTAATTTTTTCTCTAATAGTAATAATTTTATTATAGAAGAAGCTCATAAAGTCGTTGCTACTTAAGTTTATGGGGATATGTGGCTCAATAGAGCTGTGACTCTCTGTCAGCCTGGCTACAGTGCTGAAGTGGAACCTAGGGTTATTCTTATTTTCTTCTATTAGTGCTGAGTAATAGGCTCCTCTGGTGTTACGGAGGGCCTTGCTATAGGTTTTAAGATTGTCTTGCCAAATTGAGCGATATTCTGATAATTTGGAAGAGCGCCATTTCCTTTCAGTTTTCCTAGCTATTTGTTTTAACTGGCGGGTTTGGTGGTTGTACCAAGGTGCTAGTCTCCTATGTTTTAATAATTTCCTTTTTATAGGAGCGATAGAGTCTAATGTTCTTCGCAGTGAGCCTGCAGCACTATCAACAAGATTATCAATTTCAGAGGGACTAAAGTCGTTATAGGATTCTGTTAAATTCAGACATGGCATTGAATTAAACACTGAAGGAATCTCCTCCTTAAATTTAGCTACAGCACTGTCAGATAGACATCTGCTGTAGGAAGTTTTGCCTAATGGCTTATAATCTAATAGTATGAATTCAAAAGTTATTAAATAATGGTCAGATAGGAAAGGATTATGTGGGAAGACTATTAAATGTTCAATATCAATGCCATATGCTAGAACAAGGTCAAGAGTGTGATTAAAACAATGAGTTGGTTTATTTACACTCTGACAGAAGCCAATTGAGTCTATTAATGATATAAATGCGTTACTAAGGCTGTCATTGTTAACATCCACATGAATATTAAAATCACCTACAATAATTACTTTATCTGATTTAAGGACTAAACTCGATAGAAACTCTGAGAATTCAGATATAAAATCAGAGTACGGTCCAGGAGCGCGGTACACTATAACAAATAGAACTGGCTGCAGTGTTTTCCAGTTTGGGTGAGAAAGACTGTGAACAAGGCTTTCAAATGAATTATAATTTAGTTTAGGTTTAGGGTCCATTAAAACGCTCGAATCATATATAGCTGCTACTCCACCTCCTCGGCCAGTGCCTCGAGGAATGTGAGTGTTAATATGACTGGGGGGGTGGATTCATTTAGGCTAACATACTCCTCGTGGGACAACCAGGTCTCAGTAAGACAAAGTAAATCAATATCATAGTCTGATATTAATTCATTCACTAAAACAGCTTTAGAGGACAGAGACCTGATATTTAACAGCCCACATTTCATTCTCTTATTTTGTGCTACTGAGGAGTTAGTTTTATTTGATTTTTATGTTGAACTCCTCTTGTTTTTATTTCTTTAAATAATTTAGGTGGTCAGGGGACAGACACAGTCTCTATGGGGGTTTGGGTGGGTGACTGTTCTAAAGAAAGCGCAGAGGAGTGTGTAAGACAGCAGCTCTGCTTCCTGGTCCCAACTCTGGACTGTCAGGTTTTAGAGATAAACTTCGCCATATTTCTAGATAAGAGAGCCGCTCCATCCAAAGTGGGATGGATGCCGTCTCTCCTAATCAGACCAGGTTTTCCCCAAAAAGGCTTCCAGTTATCAATGAAGCCCACATCGTTTGCTGGACACCACCTCGACAGCCAGCGGTGGAATGACGACATGCGGCTATACATGTCATCACTGGTCACATTGGGGAGGGGTCCAGAGAAAACTACGGTGTCCGACATTGTCTTAGCATAGTTACACACCGACTCCACATTAATCTTAGTGACCTCCGATTGGTGTAAACGGGTGTCGTTACCGCCGACGTGGATAACAATCTTACTGTATTTACGTTTACCTTTAGCCAGCAGTTTTAAATTTGATTCAATGTCGCCCGCTCTGGCCCCAGGGATACATTTAACTATGGCCGCTGGCTTCACTAACTTCATGTTTCTGACTATGGAGCTGCCAATAACCAGAGTTGGTTCCTCAGCGGGTGAATCGCTGAGTGGGGAAAATGTATTAGAAACATGAATGGGTTGGTGGTGAACTGTGGGCTTCGGCATTTTAGTCTTCCTTCGCTCAGTCACCCAGCCTCCCTGTTTTCCCGGCTGCTCGGGAACTACCGGGGGATCTACCGGAGGAACTACCGGGGGATCTACCGGAGGAACTACCGGGGGATCTACCGGAGGACGGCTAGCAGAAGCTACCTTTGGTCGGACTGCACCGGCTACTGGGGGCTGGCTAACCATAGCGGCTG